TTCCAAAAGGGAATGCGTGTTGTCGTCATCATCAAAAGCTAGCCCCGTTCCAGAACCAAAAAAGGCACCGTCCATGACATCTCGAAATCCTTCAGCGCGATCATATTCATCTTCTGCTCAGTAGCCACACTTGCCGTCCAACTCGCCTTCATCCAAAACAAGGAATGAGCATCATCCACCAGCACCTGTGGGCTGCACCATCGGGTTGTCTGCAGGAGTCTTGGTTGCGTAGAACATCAATGAATACTGTTTGGAGCCCATCCGCAGTGTATGCAAGATGTGTCCACGATGAGTCTCAAGGTCTTGAAACAGATCGGCCAAACTGACCAGCAACGATGCCACAAGATTCTCTTGCAATGGAAAGTCGTTGGCGTGCGGGGTCCGTAAGTTGCCGGTTGATCTCCAGAATCCTTTCAGGACCTGGAGTTGCTCCGTTCAGCATTGTGTCTGCGTTGCTTTGCATGTGGATGTGCTAGCTGGTTATAGGCCTTTGGAACAGAATCTGAAACTTGCCACCCACTTCATCATGCCTGCAGGACCTCTGCTGAGTTTCATGGGCTGCATGAACCCAATAAAGGAGCACATTGGTTGCACCTTTCCCAAAATAGGATCGCTTTTTGAAGCAATGCACTCCTGCACCTGGAGGATCATTTGCCTTCAACAAGTCTCTGTCAAGAACACGTTTGCAAACAGTTGCAACCTATTGCTCAATGCAGGTCGTCTTCTCTTCTCCCTTTGTAACTCTGTCAAGCACTGTTTTTCGTTGGGAAATGCTGGCTCAACAGCCGCACCCGCATCAGGCTCATCCCACTCATCTGACTCATCTGGGTCTTACAGGATCACTCCTCCGCTACCAAAGAGTGACCGTGACTCGTCCGCGAAACTGTGACCCTTGAGCCTTGAGGAACCAGTAACGTAACAACAACTGACCCCTGTGACAGGAGTAGGCTATTACAGCTCGGGAGCCCACAAACAACTAGTAGCTGCCTCTTAGGGCCCACCCCCCCCCCGCTTACTGGAGGTGGACCTAGATTGAAGTTAAGATCTCATCTCTGGAAAAACAACGTTGTCGCCGCGTGCCGCCTTGCCTTCCTTTGAGCTGAAGGTACCGCTGGCACATGGTGTGCATTCTTGACTTCCAAAAGAGACTTGCGAATATCCAGGAGGACACATCTCACACGTGGCTGTGTCTCCCCAAGAGTCCCGCAGCAATACACTGTGGCTGCCCGGCAAACACGCCCGACAGCTAATGTTGCCTCGGGACCAGTTGGGAGACTCGGAGTCGGCGCAGCACTAAGTAGCTACAGCTTCAAGAGCAATTCCACTTCCCTAAAAGCACTTGATACTGTTTGCTTTGCGCTTTGAAGGCTGAGAAACAGGTCTTGCTCTAACCGCTTTAAAGGCCTTAGAGGCCTTGTGGCCGATTTCAGAATTTGGGCAATGTGCGCAAACGTTCTTGCCGATGCATGTTTCAATCACAAGTTCGCAAAGGCTTCTAAAGGCTTTGTAGCCACCTATAGTTCACAGGAGTTGTGTTTTTTTACTGATGTAAGGTGTTATCACTTTATTGGTGCCTACGCCAAGCCTGCTTTCTGCCTACGCGATCACAGTTTTGGCCTACGCGCAGGTCGAAGTTAGGATAGGTTGCTGAAACGACCTACGCATAGGATAGTTAGCATAGGTTAACCCATATATAAATCTTTACATCTATAAAAAACTCTGCTCACATGCATCCATTGATCACTGTGGATCGCCTCAATACGCATTTGACCGGCCTGACCGTGGGGGGCCTCAAAACACGCCAGCAAATATCCGGAAAACCCGAAGCGGAAAAGCAAGCAACGTTACAGTTCCGATCCACTGGAGGGGTGGACAAAAGGTAGCAGGGTGCGGGACATGAAGTTCATGTCTGGATCGGATCACAGGAACAAAGCCTTTTGTCACTGTCCTTGTGTGCTTTCTGTTGGCCATTGCTATACTAGTAGTTAGAAGCTACTAGGTTGGAGGCCATCGCTATTTGGGTTGGAGGCCATCGCGCCATCGCTCTTAGGTTAGAGGGCATCGCTCTTAGGTTAGAGGGCATGGCTATTAGCTTGGGGTCCATCTCTATTAGGTTGGGGGCCAAGGTTGCAGGCCATCGCTCTTAGGTTAGAGGGCATC